TTCTAACATTCTGTTAAATATCTTCTTTTGTGCTCAACAGAAACTAGAGTAAAAAAAGGAATATTATCAATAATAATAGTGTATATATATATATATATATATATATATATATATATATATATATATATATATATATATATATATATATATATATATATATACTGTAGAAGTCAGAATTATTAACCTTCCTTATTTTTTCTTTTTTAAATATTTCCCAAATGATGTTTAACAGAGCAAGGAAATTTTCATGGTATGTCTGATAATATTTTTTTCTTCTGGAGAAAGTCTTATTTGTTTTAATTCTCCTAGAATAAAAGCAGTTTTACATTTTTTAAAAAACATTTAGAGGTCAATATTATTAGCCCCTTTAAGCCCCCCCCCCCCCCCCCCCCTTTTTTTTTTAGATAGTTTACAGAACAGACCATCGTTATACAATAACTTGCCTAATTACCCTAACCTGCCTAGTTAACCTAATTAACCTAGTTAAGCCTTTAAATGTCACTTTAAGCTGTATAGAAGTGTCTTGAAAAATGTCTAGTCAAATATTATTTACTGTCATCATGGCAAAGATAAAATAAATCAGTTATTAGAAATGAGGGGGGTCGGACGGTGGCTAATAATTCAGGGGGGCTTATAATTTTGACTTCAACTTATATTAAATATATCAACACACAGTTAGTGTCAGAATTATTATTACTTATTTTATATATATATATATATATATATATATATATATATATATATATATATATATATATATATATATTAAACACACACACATATATACTATATATAGTTTTTGGATATTAATATTCAATATTATAATTGAATATAAAATATCAATTATAAATTGAATATAAATATAATCAATTATATCTATATTCATCTGATGAACAACTTTTAAAAAATGTCATGTTATAACTGCATTTTACAATAAACATGAAATTATTTCAGAAGATTATTCAGCTGAATGTATCATACTTTAACAATTAAACACATTTCACAAACATTGCACATTCATGGTGACAAATAAAACAAAAATCAAAACACACACACACACACATGCATATGTATGTATATATGTAAGTTAAGACAATGCTGTATCTTTTGAGGATAATTTTTTCTCTAAATATGTTTGTTGACACCAAAAGGTTTTACATATAGTTCAAAATTGACCACTTCTTTTTAAATGGTTATATCTTTAAAAATAAGCTACATGTAAAATAATTAGTTTTTCTCCCTTATTACATTTTAAAGAAATTATAAGAATTTTTTATAAACATCCAGTCAGAGTCAAAATGAGCTGTGAATATATTCTTCACAAATCTCCATTTGTGTAACAGAAATTCTGAACATGTTTGAACGTGTTCATGTTTTAGTGAAGACCAACATCGAGATTCAAAGTCAGATAACAAGGGGTAAAATCAGCATGACAGAGAATAATCCATAAATCATCTCTATTTCCAGTGAAATTTGAGGAGCTGCAGAGATGAACAGCTGCTTCATACATACATGTCATTCCCAAGAACACTAATGTGCCCTTACAGACAGCGCTGGAGTCCTCAGAGTTAAGTAGGCTACCAAAAAAGGAGACTAGAAGCATATTAGCCAAACCAGTCGCATCATAATTCAGGCCAGAACAGAAGATCCTCCACCCGGACACAGCACTGATGTTTTCATAGGAGCGACGTTTGTTTATACAGCTATGATCAGAGTTTATGTTCACTTAATATTTCCTTTCATTTTTCTGTGTAAACAGCACATTCTCTTTGCTGTTGTTGACTGAAAGCATTTCGGGTGATGGATCTTTCTCCTTTGTTAATAGATAACGATTTTTTGCATTTAACTAAAGACACATTCATGGTTAGTGGAGTTTTTCCAGGCCTGGATTTTACAACGCACTAATAAAAAGAGGAAGGAGGAAATCTGCTAATTTTTTTTCTTTCTACAAGGAATAAATTGAGGTAAAGTTGTTTTTAGATTCACACATTCAGACAGTCTCCTTGATCATATAATTTCAGAAAAGTATTCTTTGCCAATTCAAAACAGGTAGCAAAGAATTCTGGCCCAGATTTGGCATAAATCTGCATTCGGCCGACACTGGCATGTGGGCCAAACATGGCCCGGGTTTGGCAGAGGTGGCTCCATCTTTAAGGCTGTACATAAGATTTGGGCAAGATATCGAATGTTGTATTTGGCCCAAATTAAAAAAAATTTATATGTGGGCCATGCAAGTTTGGCAGATCTTGACCCACTTTTAAAATATAGTTAAAATATTTTTGAGTAAAAAAAAAGAAAAAATTCTACCAATCGGGTCGCTTCGAGGAAAAGCGCAGGCATAAAGCGAAATGCTCCATGGGTTTATCGAATTCCTTGCAATCATGACATACCAACATATCTTGTCCAGATATGGTTTAATAACTTGACCGAGACTTGCTCCCTCCATGCTTGGCCCTTGTATGGAAGCCAGACTTGGCCCAATCATGTACAAAATTTTACTACGGCTTGTCGGCCAAGCAAAAGCTGATAGTGTTGCTTTTACATGTCGTTGCAATGTGAAGTTATATTTTTTGAGTGGTGCATGTTTACGTCGGCGTCAGCTATGGCGAGGACTATGTAGCAGCACGAATGCTGCACCAGAGAATACGTATGCGCTTGACGCACAAGTATAAACCAGCCTTTACTTGTGTTATGTTGTCAGTGAATGAATGTGCGAATGTAAAACTAACTTTACCTCAATAAGGAAGGTCATATTTGTTATATAAAAAAAATCTCAAAAATAATACAGTGTGTGCCGTTTATGATAACAGCGTCACACTCTTATTAGATTTCAGGTTTGGTTTACCAGAAACCAATGAAAAACCAAAGATGCTATTAATATGTTGCTTTTCACATTCCACAGAGCAGTTTTATAACAGATAACCCAGGTCACGTGACTAAGATAATTCGAAACAATAAGGTCATGTGACTAGGGTAAGTTGAAACACTAAGGTCACGTGACTAAGGTCATTCGAAACACCAGGGTCATGTGACTAAGGTATTTCGAAACACCCAGGTCATGTGACTAAGGTAATTTGAAACACCAGGTCACGTGACTAAGGTAGTTTGAAACACACAGGTCACGTAACAAGGGTACTTTTAAACACCCAGGTCATGTGAATAAGGAAATTTGAAACACCCAGGTCACTTGACTAAGATAATTCGAAACACCAAGGTCATGTGACTAGGGTAAGTTGAAACACCAAGGTCACATGACTAAGGTCATTCGAAACACCAGGGTCATGTGACCAAGGTATTTCGAAACACACAGGTCATGTGACTAAGGTAGTTTGAAACACACAGGTCACGTGACAAGGGTATTTTGAAACACCCAGGTCACTTGACTAAGATAATTCGAAACACAGAGGTCATGTGACAAAGGTAAGTTGAAACACTAAGGTCACGTGACTAAGGTAATTCGAAACACCCAGGTCACTTGATTAAGATAATTTGAAGCACCCAGGTCATGTGACTTAGGTAAGTTGAAACACTGAGGTCACGTGACTAAGGCCATTAAAACACCAGGGTCATGTGACTAAGGTAATTCGAAACACCCAGGTCATGTGACTAAGGTTATTCAAAACACCAAGAAAAGTGACTAAATTGTTTCAAAACACCCAGGTCATTTGACTAAGGTAGTTTGAAACACCAGGGTCATGTGACTAAGGTACTTCAAAACACCCAGGCCATGTGACTAAGGTAATTTGAAACACCAGGTCATGAAACTAAGGTAACTCGAAACACCCAGGTCACACGACTAAAGTGTTTCGAAACACCCAGGTCATGTGACAAAGGTAATTCAAAACACCCAGTTCACATGACTAAGGTAATTTGAAACGCCAGGTCTTGTAACTAAAGTGTTTCGAAACACCCAGGTCATGTGACTAAGGTAATTCAAAACACCCAGGTCACATGATTGAGGTAATTCGAAACGCCAGATCATGTGACTAAGGTAATTGAAAGCACCCAGGTCACAATATTAAGGTAATTCGAAGTGCCTGGTCATGTGACTAAAGCGATTCAAAGCATTGATAATTTCAAAAGCGTTTCGAGACCTGGCAAATCTGCGATTGACCGGGTCAGTAAAAAAAAAAAATTTCCATCTCATGTAGCCTAGTGGACCGTGCATTTGCACAGACTATTTCATTCGAATGTCAGACCAATGTTAAATTAAAACATTACAAGAGTAATTAAAAATTAACATCTATAGCTGTATCACTCTGGATTCTAACCCATTTTCTCGTCATGTTAATCTGAAACTCTCACCGCTTCACTAAATCACTTCATATCAACTCTACAACGTTGGGTTTATTACCTCAATTTGCTGAAGTGTTTCTTTGCTGAAGCTGTTCCAGAGCAATACATAAAGAACCAGTAGGTGTCACTGTACAGACTAGTTTCATTAAGCCTTGCTTTGCCCACCACTAGTTTGTGCAGCATTTTTCTCGTTTCACTAGAACAGTTTTCAAAATGCGCCTGTAGTGAACAAACACCTTCTAGTGGCATAAATTACACACTGTACCTTTAAAAAGGATCTTTCACCCAAAAATACAGATAAGATGTACCATTTACTCTCCATTATGTGGTTTAAACCTTTATTTAAAGCAAACCTGTAACTTGGAACTACTAAGTTGACAATTACTTTATAATTATATACAGTTCATTTACTCACTCAAGTTTACTATTTTTTTTTTAAGGCAGCTAAACAGCTTCGTCCAGTGTATATAAAAAGAAATCCAAGCCTAAATTTCACAATGCACTGATAAAAAGGAAAGGGGAAACTAATGAACTCATTTTCATCCGCAAGCACAGCACACATTAGACTGGAAATAAACCAAGTATCACATGACGGCGGCATTATTAACACCAGGAAGTCTGAAGAATGAGGAACTTCCGTGGATCTTTATTACGCTTAACTTTCTGCCGTCTCGAACTCTCTAGCAAATCATCAGCACATCAGAGACATCTCAAACTTGTTTTATTACATCTTAAATAACAGTACATTTTAATATAGTATCTATGTTGCATCCAGCTTTCTGTGGTACACCGACAGACTGAAATTAAATACAAAAGGTGAGATAGGGAGTGCTGAGATCTACAGTTATTAATGAAGAGAGAAAATAAGGGGAATCCATTTTAATTGAACTGCAATTAATCTTTACTGGTGGCAGCACACACAAATACATCACAATTATTGTACATTATCGCAGAGAAAGGAAAAAACAAAAGATTTTTTGTTTAAAAAAAAAAAGAAAAAAAGAAAGAAAAAAAAAAAGTCACAACTATTAAAGAAAGTGCATCTGTTTACAGTGGAAAAGGAACAGAAGACTCTGCCATGTCAGATGCCGTTTCAAAACGTTTAAAGAAAAGCCAAAAAGTGATTTCCGATGCAACGTTTTGACTTCGGAAAACCTCGAGCGGGACATTTTCGCAAAATTTGGAACATTTTCAGGAAGCATGGCCATATTTTACAGGTCGTCTGCAGGAAATAAATGTGGTTTCTCCCTCACAGGTGCATAGCTTCGCCAGTGAACGTAAAGGATGTATGCACAGCATGTCTTAAAAAAAACCCCACGCTTCAATAGTCACAAATTTCGCAGTTTCGTAATCGGTTTCGTCGTCCCAGTGGAGGAAAGTGGGCCTAAAGACGTCAGCGCCTGTTTAAGCAAATTCTACAGCATGCGACTACGTTAATTCATGGCAGATGAAATAAAACGCTTAACTTAAAAAAGTTCAGAATCATCATTATTTTCAGACATTGATTTGTACAACATTTCATTCACATAGTAGTAACTGTATTTCCAAGCACAGACAGGGCTATCTGTTCTCTTTCTGGAACTGGGCTAAAAACAAACGAACGAAAAGGAAAACGTTTTGTTTTGTTTGTTTTTTTTCCTTCTTTTCTTTCAACCACCAATCCCGACACCACTGGAAAAAACAAAACATTACCCGCCCAACCTCCCGCTTGCCCGACCAAAACAACCTCCCACCCCCGACAAAACAATCGTAATTAAAGCTAAAAGCTTAAAACAAAACAACCGAGGAGAAAGTAGAAACGTAAGACCGGAAGATAAGCTAAGGGGTTAGTCTGAACAGTTTTTAATCCAATAAAAGAGAGGATCGTATTTTTTGTGTATTTTTCACCTTTTTTTTTTTACTTTTTTGTGCATTTTCTACATTAAAATTAGCATTCAATGTGATTAACGGCATGTGCTTGGTTAGTTAACGCTTAAAACGTTAGTCAAGTTTCTTATTGTGCAAACAAAGCTGTGACGAGACTGGAAAGAAACATTAGCTAGGATATAATGCTGCATTCGCGTGCAAGTCGGATACCCATATTTACAACGGCCATTCGCAGATAAATGAAGCGAGTACCTCGGACTCTCAGAAATGGCAAAGTATTTAAAAGAGATATGGCATTTTTATGGCATTTTCTTTTTTTCTCGAATGACAAAGGACCAGGATTCACACTGAAAAAAAAAGTTAACCAATGCACAGATCATGATTACATTTGTTTTTAGAAAGCCATGGCTGTTCTTATTCGCCCAGCCGATGGGGAAAAAACAGAGGTGAACGCCGTCTGGGGGCCAACAATATATGAAGATTAAGCTTTCACAGGAGGGCGCATAAACATTTTTCCTCATTAATGAAAACTACACAACCTCTAGAGCAACCTAGTGCACATTAAAAGAACAAAACGCATGATTGGCATCTTTAAAAACAAACCAACAAAAAAAAAAAAGAAGCTGCTCTTCCATCCATCCTGGTCTAGTTTCAGCATTTTATACATGACTTTTCTCATTTTCACATGGTTTATAACAGGATTAAAAAGATTTTACTAATCAGAAACGCATCTAAACAGAAAAAAAACAAAAAAACAGACGGGAAGAAGATCTAGAAGATGAACTATCAGAATAAAGGAAAAAAAAAATAAGAGTTAAATAATTTGTACAATTACACTCCAACGTTTGCTTTCTAGACACATGGTACATAAGCGTGGGATGATAGTGTTTTGTGTTTTCTCTTACAGGGTCACACAGAATGGTCCGAGAGGGAATGCAAGTTATTCATTTGATACCACAGGAATTCTTCATCTTTTTTTTCTCTTTTCTTTCTTTTTTTTTTAAGCTGGGTGATAAAACAAATTGTGCTCTTCTTGGTGTAGGAAAGGCATTGTTTTCCCTTAGAAGTTTTATTTCTTTTCATGGTGGTGTCAGTCAGTTTTATAAGGTGTTTTGTTGTTGACGATGCTGTGAAATTTAACATTCTAAAGTTGGAATGGTCTTCCAGTCAACTTTGGAGTTCAAATGATATCTGTGGAAAGATGGAGAAAACCATCAAGCGGATATTCAGACATGCCTTAAAAACAGTGAATATGCCTTAAAAATACACGATTTTACGTAGAAATAGATAAAGGTAAATAATAAAAAGGTTTCTATTAAAAATTGTATAAATATATGTACATAATAAAATGGAGAAAATGATTAAGCAGATAATCAGAGAGCCTTAAATGTAAAAATACATGATTTTACGAAGAAATACACAAAGGTAAATAATAAAAACGTTTCCATTATAAATGTTAAGAATTTATGTACATAATAAAAATGGATAAAACAATTAAGCAGATAATCAAACAGCCTTAAAATGTAAAAATACATGATTTTAAATGATTAATGCAAATCAGTGTTGGGGGTAACGCTGGTTACGTAAAATTACTTTTTTGCAAATAACAGGTAAAGCAACGCATTACTTTAAAAAAAAGATTTTGAACATTTGAAAATGTAATGTTGTCTGTAATAACAACGAAATGTCAAGGAGAAAGTGCTGAACTACTAAAATATATTTAATATTTTATCTAAAAGGCTTGTTTGGTGAAGACAGCGTAAAGACATCCCACATATGAAGAATGAAGTCACATGCATTGCTCAGGTCTGAGTTTTTCCACAGACTTCAACAGTGTCAAAATCTTGATAATTCTGTGGGCCTCGGCTATCAAATCTGAGCTTAATTTGTCTTTTCTATTGAAATCGAGTCTGGGCTGGGCCATTTTACAGCTTGATTTTCTTTCTCTGAAAGCATCTAAGAGTTTCCCTGGCTGTGTTTTGGATCATTGTCTTGCTGAAATGTCCACTCTGGTTTTATGTTTATCATGCTGACAATGTAGATGTTGGACTGAAGCAGCTGATATTTATTTACAACCAGGAAGGGCTTACCGTACGTTCACACCGAAAGCGGCGAGAGCGTCAAAGTAGCCGGAAGTCATTCATTTTCAATGAGAGCCGGCGGCGATAGGCGACGATAAGCGGCGAGGAGCAGCGCGGCGCGTCTTCGCCAGCGTGAGCGTCGAGGAGAGTTGAAATGAAGTCAACTTTATGGTAATGAGCTATGACGCGGTTCGGCGGCAAGCAATCAGAATGAAGACGTCCAACGCTTGATAGCAGTTCAGGGAACACAGACCTGTGAACTTTGGTTCCGACCACAGTTGTTCCCAAGGGTTTGATTATTGCGGTCGCCGGATTTCCAATTATTTACAATGTTTTCTAACAGGAACATACATTAAATAAGTTACTGATGTTCATTCATGTTATATAAATTTATCTTAAAAAAGCGGGAATCTCACGCGATGTGACAGTACAAAACAGTACTGCTGCTTCAGGATATTTCAGACATATGGACACATATTGGATAAATAGAGCAAAGCCACACCACATGCAACTTGATCTTCCATTGTTTTATGAATTTGATAAGAAGTGCGCAACATTTTCACGCTAGAAACATGTTTTATGCAGGAATGTAACTGATATGCTGCAACGGCTCCTTTAAGTACGAGATCAATGTAGCGAGTTTTGACGCTCTCGCCGCCGGAGCTGAAGGCAGACAGCGTTGTCGCCAGGTCTGCCAGAGCGACCTTGGACGCTCTCGCCGCTTTCGGTGTGAACGTACGGTTAGGGTTGCTGAGAGATTTCAGCTGCTGTCTGGGCTTTCACTGCCTTGCTACACCTCCCTTTCTTCAAGTGTTCAATACTTTTTACCCAAGTAATTTCATTTTATTACACAACTTCATTTGTAAACCATTTAGATTTGTTTTCTTTGCATATTTGGATTTATTTGGTTGTTACCAACATCTGGTGAAAATTTCAAGTCTACAGCACCTTTAGAAATACGTTTTGTGAAAAATTGTGGTGTTCAATACTTATTTATTTTGACCGCTGTAAATGTAAAAGTACATCATTTTACAAGGCAAATAATAAAGACGTTTCAATCAAAGAACATAGAAAATAAATGTACACTAAAAAAAAAGTCAGTTGTCACGTCTAAAAACAATTTAAAAAAACTGATGTAGAAATCTAATTATTTAAATAGATAAACTTCATATAATAATATGGTCCAAATATACAAAGAAAATCAACTAAATATATTTCAATTATATTAAGAAGATTTTTATGACTAACACAGTGTCTGTCATAATTTAATAAATACATTTCTTTCATTTCTTAGCTGTTTTAACTAAATTTCACAAAAATAAAGTGAAAAACAAACAAACATTTACAGTCATTTAGAGATCTAAACGCATATTTGTAATTTGAAGTCTGCAAATATACAGCAACTTTATGTGGAGGGTAAAATGTTGAATACGGGAAATTAAAATGTGTGCATTTTCCATATCGGCCTTCTTATCTTGTGGCAGGGGTGGCAAAAGGACATATTTAAATGGCATGTAAAACAGAGCATCTATTGTTTGCATTTAGCTGGTGCTGATGAAAGAGGCTGACTCTTACTGTATCGGACATGTTGTATTGAAAGCACCTTCAGCGTTCAGTTCCAGATCTTGAGGAAACTGTCCCAGGACCCTGTAGCCACTGCCATCCCATCATCGGTGACACCCAGACAGCTTACTCTGTTATCGTGACCCGCCAGCACACCTGAAACAGCACAATTATCAATAAAACAACATGCTTAACTAGATGACGAGAATACGGTTTAAATTTAACATTCAAGTTGAAGTCAGAGTTATTTCTTAACAATTGTTAAGTCATAACATCGTATTAGGGCTGAACGATTTAGCAAATGCTGCAATTGTCTTGCATATAGAGTTAACATTTTAGCCGTTGCATTTCCCTCGTTTCAAAGTCAATGGGTTTTTTGAATGGGGTTTCAGTAAAATCACTTAAATAAGGTCCGTGGCCAACTCAAACTCAAAATACCTTCACGTTTTGTTCTATGACATAAAACACATCGGTTACTTCACACTCTTGATTTTTATATCAGTTATGCTTCTTTTAAAAAGACGGTTGCTATCAAGTTGCTAAATGGGACTACAGGTGGTGTCAGAGGCATTATACGTCATCGAGCTGAACTGGTCTGGAGCGCAGCTCACTTGTGTTGGGCATTTGGATTTGTCTGTGATTTAAGTATTTCATGAATAGTATTGTATAGTTTGTAGTATTTTTCTAATTTGGGAATTCATATTGTGTGTTGATAATGCCTTCACTTGTAAAGACTGTCAAGACAGATTAATTTTTTGTTGATCATTTATTTAATTAAACGGTCTCATGAAGATACTGCTCACCAGTGCTGCCTGTCTCTTTCCTGCTCTCAGTAATGCAAACGTGTAAATAAATGTGTAAAAAATACACACATATTAACTGTCATTTTCAAGTGATCAAGTGATTTTTCGTCGTTTTTTTTTTTCATCTGAACACATTTAACTCTGTCATAACTGGAATATTTACACACCTACTTAAAATCGAAAGCAGATGTGACTGTATGGGCTGCTTTTCGCCGTGACAAAGAATATTGAATGTTGTTCTGTATCCATGATGGAACTTGCAGGCATTTGATCTCATTTCTGTCACCTGTTAAGGTAAGCAGGCTGTGTGCTTGCAAGCAATACACTTATTTAAATATGCCTTTTCATTATACTATGTAGGCACGTTTATACATACAGTTTTTAAACTTTTACAACAAACGTAAAGCAAAACAGATGTATTTTCCACGTAAGACGATGCAAAAGGCACGTAGGTCTGTGTTTTTGCGTATTTATTTGTTTATAATATATAGTGTGGATTATAATATAATAAACAGAGAGATTAATTCTTTGTCATGGACCAGATTTCTAAAAATAAGCTTGAAAAGTCGTCTGTAGCTGGGTGGTGCTGACGTCACAGGCGAGTGCCTGTAGGCACTGTAGTCCGTGTATTGCCTAACGTAAGCTTTTCAGTTCTTGCGTTTGCATTAAAGATCCAAAAGTGCTCAAAATAGTTTTTCGTGTGAGGATTATCCAGCTGGACAAAACGTGCAAGTGTAATGAACAGTGTTTGAACACAGAGCTTATTATTCGCAAGCTTCAAATAGCCTATGGGAAAATCCTGTAGGGATTTTATCGAGGGAACCAGTTTTATGCTAGCAGCCGATTAGCCTACAAGGTGACGTCATAGTTCCTTCACTCTATAACGCGAGTAAAGTATGGTGATGAGGTAAAGCATGGTAATGATCAGTGGTAAATTTCCTTCAAAGGCTAGAGGGCGCTCTCTCGCACAAGTCACACAGTAAAACAACAAATATGCCCCAAAGAAAACCAGGAAAAACGTAAGATAAAAAGATATAACTGCTTTTATTGAATTCAACGGATTAATAAACACATGACCATGACAACATGGTTCATCTGATTTCTTCTTCTTATAATTTATCAGACAATAAAGTATGCAATGGTGCGACAAATTTCTCACTGCTTAGAATGCTATGATAAAATATGTTGTGCTTTTTTTCTGCGCAAGTTGCATCGTTTCACAGAAGAACTTAATTTAAACACTCGACTGAAACTATGAAGTTGAGCAAAAACTTCATTATATGTGGTATTTGCACATGCTTTCAGGTTTAACATGAGCAACAATTACATCAAAGGGCTGTAGTTCACCGAGAAGCTAGGCAAACAGCTGTAAATATAGCAGAATGATTATCTGCGATCTGACTTTTTTATGTTGATATGGCATGCGATATTTTGGTAGCTTCATCGGTCATATTTCATCTAAAAAACAGGGTTAGCACATCCTGTCAGCTTCAAATGTCTATCTGAATAAACTACCACATTCAATAAGGAAGTAAAAACACGGGTGGCACATATGGTCAGCTTCAAATATCTATTGAAATTCACTGCTACTGTATTGAACAACATAGAAAAAGGCGTAGCGGCTTCAAATGTCTACCTGAGTGAACTACTGCCTGAATTTTTTGTTATTTCATTAGTTTCATATTTAATTTGTTTATTTAAATGGCAGTTCATTCCAATTGATATGTGAAGCTGACAAAATGTGCTACCCCAGTTTTTACACTATTCTTTAAGTAAGTAGTTCATTGATCACATTCTGAGGAGGTAGCACAGATCGTAAGAACACCGGCATATAGATTAATGCGGATGACAGTCACATGTGATTTATCATTCAGCCCTACTTGGTATTTTTCGGTCTTAAAATCAAAAGGTTTTAGTTTAATGTCATTAGTAACCTAAATAACGAAAGAAAATTTGTTTTACACAAACACATAACTAAGTTGTAAATTCGGACAAAAGAAAAATGTTTAAGTTCTCATTATGCTGCCAAAGAAATAAATAAATTAACAACAATCAAGATGTATGCAAAATTTAGACATTGAATAAGCTAAATTAATTAAATGACCAACAAAACGAGAAACCTCTTAAATTTGCAATCAAAACTAAATGCAGTGAAAATACCATTTCAAAAATCTTACATTTAATTCAAAGGATTACTGGCCATTGCTTTGTGATTATCTCTGAAGTTTTAAAAATTGAAATTGAAATGTTTAGGCCTTCGACCAACTATCTTATTACCTATTGCTATTTAAATCCATGCACCTTTTATCAACAGAACGTGTCTGTATGCAAATTAGACAGACCATTGAGGCCTTTTAGAAAGCACAAACTGAACCATATGTAAAACACCACCCCTGCGTGTGTGAACGCTTGTTTTGTGATAACAAACTAGTATAATGACATGGGTATGACACAGGTACTAAAATGAGGTTATTATTAGGAATTATAAAGACAATGTCAACATTTCTTTTAAAAGATTTCTAACAAAGATATTTTCAGAAAGTAAATCTGGTCACTGCAACCTGTAAGGAGTAGGGTGAGGTTAAGTAACGTTTGTAAAAGTACAACAGAAATTAGTTTGTACAGTAAAAAACAATAGAAGCATATATGTAATTTCCCCACAAAAACAAACCTGCGCGTGTGTGCGCCTGTCATATCTGTTATTCTAACAGCAGGGCTCGAAACTAACATTTTTGCTTGGTAGCACCGGTGCTCTTAACTTAAAAAATGTAGGCGCATCAGCCAAAATTTAGTCGCACCCACCAATAACAAGCACCGTTACTAAAGTTTTATACAAACATATTTATTGCATTTGAAATCAACACTAATCAAACTAACAAATAAAAAAATATATATGCATGCGTGAAGGAAATATGTCTCAACGAAATCCCGTTCTCACAAGAAAATACATTTTTATAACATAACTGAGTGACCAAAAGGTACACGGACCGCTCACCAGCCCTGCACACACTGCTTAACATGAATGAATCTGTTAAGGATATAACTGTGCTGTTCTCACGGGTGGTGTGTGATATTGCACTGATGCTTTTGACATGTACTGTACCTTATTATATGCATACGTCATGTTAATAGCAATACCGGTCTTTTCATGAGCAGCGATATTAGTTTGCTCAGTGCAAGCCCGTTTGCAATGGTGTACGCGGTGTTCAATTTCACATATAGCTGCCACTTGCACTGCGGACAGCATCTGGCGATTATATGAATGATTAAACAGAAGCTCTTGTGCTAGATGTGGCAAACAGTTACCTGAAAATTCCATCCCAAAGACTTTTCATAGCGGAATTGAAGCCAATGGAAGTCTTTTATCCACTCTTGGAAAAGTGTAGATGGTGGATTAACATTCCGCACATGATCACTAGTAAGATGTGTCATTATTTGTAACTGTAGATGCCATGGTTTCTAAAACAAAATCTGTCAGTGTTAATTTCATTCTCATCTTCAGCGCTTTACCATTTTTCGCGGTAATAGCTTTCCCTTTCATCCCAAGCCAGAAGGCATTGACTGAGTGATTGACAGCTGATATTTCAGTGCTAGAGCAGTGGGCCAATAAGAAGAGTGCGAAGGCGGGGCAAGCATTACGGACTTGGCTTTGTTTACTGCAGCAAGTTGACATGACAACTGTTTTAAACCATTCCTGAGCGCTGCGTTTCGCATTTCAAGTGCAGAGATGCACTCTCCGTGAATGTCTCCTAATTTCCTAAATCATGTGCTGATCATTATGCAGCAAAAACTGGTCGCACACAACAATTTAATGCACTCGCACAAATACTCCCAAATATATTTTGAGGTCGCATAGATAAAATTTTGGGTGCATTTGCGACCAAAATTTATTCTATGCGACCAATTAATATATTTGGGAGCATTTGTGCAACTGCATATAATGGTTGTAGTGCGACCTGTTTTGATGTTTTATAAAAACATGCTGAATCGCTCTTCCCTGCCGCTGTATTGGTTCATATTACCTGTCAATCACTCAAGTCTTTCCACTGTTATTTTAAGTTAGGAGCAACGGTGCTACCAAGTAAAAAAGTTCATTTCGAGCCCTGTACTAAGTTTTCAAGTAGGTTTATTTAAAGTACAATTTTTGTTATTGATAAACCATTAACTATGAATTAAGTCCCAGCTCTTAGCAGTTAAGAACCCTTTTCACATTTCTGGGTTTATGAGCAGCAGAGGTCATCATATTTGGGTAAACTTAGAGCATGGTAAATGAGACAGTTCAACAAATTACTTTACAATCCTATTTGCTGAAATAATAAAAGAAAATGCCATAATGATATCATCAAGTCTTTCAGAAAAAGGAAAAAAAATAACACTAATAAACAGTAACTTGTATATAAATAAATATAATAAATAAATAAATATAACAAACATGAAAAAAGACTAATAAAGGCAGCCAGAAGAGAGAAAAACGTCAAATTTACTGACCCGCCAATAGACACTGCATTACAAATGCCTCGCACAAGCGGTTATTTATTTTTTTATGCAAAGATTACATAATATATACACGTTCATTAATTAAAAAATTAAATATTTAAAACTTTCAAGGATTTAAGATGCTGATGAAAATTACCTGCATTATGTAAAAAGGGTCCATTAAGCTGGTTTAAGTAATAGACAGAATTAGGAATGTAGAGTATGTACTTTATAAGTACTAATAAACTGGTTCTGGTTCACTAGTTAATAATGAAAACCGGTACTTAAGTACTGATAGCATGTCTCACCAGCGCGGTCGGCCTTTAGGGTGTCCCAAACGTTGCAGTTGAAGTCGTCGTAGCCGGCGAGCAGCAGGCGACCGCTCTTGGAGAAGGCCACCGAGGTTATACCGCAGATGATGTTGTCGTGAGAGTAAACCATGAGCTCCTGGTCAGCGCGCAGGTCAAACAGACGGCAGGTGGCATCGTCAGAGCCAGTGGCGAAAGCATTGCCGTTCGGGAAGAACTACAACAGGACAAATATACATTGTTTAATAGATCATATTTTTTAACGAAACATCATTTAATGATGTGACCACTCATTCCTTAGACCAGTGCTTCTCAATTCCTGTCCTCAGGCCACCCGCCTTGCATATTTTGTATGTCTCTCTTATTGGACATAAAAGGATCACTTCATGGATCTTTCCGTTAATGAACTGACGATCTGAATCAGGTGTTTTCAGGTAAGGAAGACATGTTGCATCTGAAATCACATACTACCATACTATATAGTACGCTAAAAACAGTATTGCGAGAAGTACCCGGATGACCCATTCCTTCTGGCAAGATTCTAAAGTGTGCATCAGATGGATGCTACGCTATACCATGGTGCACCATGGGAGAATTCCTATATGGAAGAGAAGCGATGCAACTGACATGGGTCACATGATAATGACAAATGGTGATTGTAGTACATCTGAATTCATTCATACTATATAGATTTGTACTATTCTAATGGTCGTTTAGTAAATTCAAATTCAAATGTAGTACCTACTTAGTCGTCTGCAGTTTCAAATGCAGCCATACAAAATGAGAACTAGAATTGAGAACCACTGCCTTAGCTTCTAGTTTTAATCCAGAGGTGTCAAACTCAAACATGATTGAGGGAGAGAAAATGTCCCCTTGAACTGACTAACCGTGTTAAGCCTTAGTTTCCTCACTGTTATTATTATCACAATAATCACCATTTTTCCACAAAGAACATGCTAGCATGCAGTTTGGAGCTGTGTATGAAGAGTTCAGATGTAAATTCCTCCAAGTGCCGTCTGACATGTTCTTTAAAATGAGCATTTTCTCAGTCTCCTAATGTTCAATTATTTCACTTTAAAAGCAAATGAAAACAACCTATTCATTGCCATGAAAGTGAAATGACTAAAAACACTCACAGAAGCCTAGAAAAAATGCTCAGTATGAAAAGAAATTCAGACGGCACTTGGAAGCTTTTAATAATAAAAATTTACCAAAACACACCCACGATTTTGTCTACTTATAAAGACAGACTTTTATTATTATTATCAGATATTTAAAGTCTGTCTGGCATTAAACAAAATCATGAGTGTGTTTTGGTTCTGGTCTTGGCTGGTTTAGAGGGTTAAACATGACCCTCAAAACCACCACCAAGAAGTGGCAAAACCCTGTCAATGATTCAATGTCCATTTAATTCAAATGATTAGTTCAAAATGGCCGATTCATTTAGAAAAGAAACAAGACATTATAAATGGATCAATTAAATCACTAGCTCAAATGATTCATTTAAAACATGTAAGTTTCAGAACCAAACACTGCACTTCTTTTGTTTGCAACTATTTTTGACAGCACAATCCAGCAAAACTTGAATATTATTTTAAGTCTATTAACACTAGTTTTTGTTTAACACTTTAACTACCCCACCATGATTTTGGATTGCATTTCTTAACTCTTAATGTCACTAGTTAACACACTCAATGCATCTCATAATTTCTAAAATATCAGCCTTTACCAAGATGGAAGTGTCGCTTTATGGTAAAAGAATCAGAATTAATACATATACTATGAAAAATCTGGCAATATGAAGTTTAAGACCAATTTATGTAAAAAATATATTAAAAATAAAACATTTTTGAAATCCTAAATCACTTTTTTTTTTAAGTATGCAATAAAATGTTTCAGCTTCTCATTTAACATGCTTGCATGTTTTGTTTACAATACAACCAAAATCAAGAGTAGTTGTGCAACAGTGTGTTTGTGTGATATTTTTTTTGTAAAGCAACAATGCCGTGTGTGTGAGTCATTATTTAAAACAGTCTTTAAATTAACTTAACAGTCATTATTTAAAACAGTCAAAACATGGTCAACCTTTTGGTAGAGGGGGAGTAAAAGGGTTAACCTGATCAGTTAATCTGTAATAAAACAAATGGGAACATGCACTCTTGCTGATCTGACACTACAGTAAATAGCATAAATACACAAACAACAACATAAACAAGGTTTTTTTTTGCATGAACTGGACTATTCTCCTGACTACATATGAATAGTCTTCATGCTGCAATGCATGCTTGTTTATTGACATGGGTCTTGCTCACAAACATTAATAAAAATTAATTTTGGTATTATAGCATCCACTGTTATACAAGATACTACACATTCCTATCTCTCTCTTACTTTTTCATTCTAAAACTTCAAAAGAGTCTTAAAATAGCACACCAAATGCACTTTTTTCATAATTATTGAACATCTAATTTCCTCTTAGGCCACATTAGACAAACCATTTAGTCTCTGTATGTTTGGCACATGTTTTAATCTTGTCTAATAGTGAAATGGACACTCACACAGATGGCGTTGATGTCAGACTCGTGGCCGGTGAAGGTCTGTCTGCACATGCCCTCACGGATGTCCCAGAGTTTAGCGGAGGCGTCGCAGGCCCCGGACACAAACAGCCTGGTGTCTGGAGCCAGAGACAGACTCATCACATCTCCAGTGTGACCCGCAAACGTGGTCGTCTGCTGACCGGTCTCAATGTCCCAGAGAGCACTGCGGGGCACACCAAAACATCCACATTTAGGCCATTTTCAAAATTGTAGATCAGCTGGATTGTAGCAAAAGGACACTTTTTTTTTTTAATTGGTATTTAACAAGAACATACATAGTAGTATATAATACAGAATAAGAAAGATTAGAGACTGTCTTAGTTTTCTTATTTTCCCACTATCACTTCAAAATAAAATAAAATTCATTAATAAAAACAAACACATCCTCAGAGAAAGAATTTTTTAGCAAGTTTACAAATAAAAGCAAATACTAGTAAAAAAAAAAAAAATAAAGGAAAAGATCTCTTTAAGAAGTCAATATTTCTTCTTTCCAGTTGTTTACTGTGTTTTAGAGCCGATATCAACAGAACAGGGTCAGCCTTTGGTATGGTCTAAAACAGGATTCCAGGTCTGGTAAAATGATTTGACAGATCCTACAAGTAAAAAGGCCAAATTTCTAAACGGACCAAAATATGCGAATGAACAAATCAGATGTGGGTAAACTGTAATCTCACTGGGCCTGATTACACCTGGTCGCTCCATGCATTTTCTCTAATCAGACATCTAAGTTCTGAAAACCATCTCCATTTACACTTGACCACTGTTACGTTCGTTTGCAGAATGCATTTTGGGTATATGTGTGTGTTTGTTTGTTTGTATGTTGATGTGTTTTACACGTGTTTTACAGGTGCAAACAGCATTGGAGGATCTGCATTTCGTGCTGATGATGTTGGCCGCTGATGCTGGGTTTGCGCTACCAATCGGAGGTCGGCGAAGCATTTAAAAGCCCAGCCCAAACGACAATGGCGATCTCTCTCTATCTCTCGCTTTTACTCTTTCTGTGGGTCTCTGTGAGGACAATCTCTCTTGCGAATGGCTAGTCGGAGAGAATGTATTTTGCTTGTGTTTAATGCTCTTGTCTAAAGTTTTGAGATCTGAAATTGCGATTTGTTTGCTTGTAAACTTGTCCAGTTAACTGATACCCATTTGAGTTAAACTGCGGAGAGGGTGTAGGAGTAAGTCGCGTGATATACATATACAACACGAGATTCATTTTTGTAGTAGTTCATTAGGTTCAGAAGAGTGTGCTGCTTTGTGTATGTTAGTTTTTAGTTTAATTAAGACGTTTGGTATGTTGGAGATGTTTCTTTTCAAGCTTTTCTTTGATGGATTGTTGGTGATTGTACATGTGTTACTGACCAGATTGGGTAGCTATACATGAACAAAGAAAAATTAAGACCTGTTAAAAAAGACTTAAGACCTACAACACAATATTTCAGTAGATTTAAGTCTTTTTATTTAAATGTAGTGTTTGACACTTCTAACATAAAGACATTAAGACCCCGCAGACACCCTGATTTAAGTATTCTTTGTAATTAACTTAAAATATTTGAATTAAAACGTTTAACAATTCCATTGCCTCACTCGTTTCAAACATAAAATATTTCTAATATTGATATGAACAGCACACTCCAAAAATATTTTTGCTGCTTGTAAAAACTAATCATTTAAAAGAAGCTGAAATTCTGAGATTTTTTTGGGACAACTTAATTTTTACAAGTTTAAGTTGATTGAACAAAAAAAACAAAAAACAAAAACAAATGTTAACTTAATCAGTTTGTGTTGGGACAACATGAAGGGTTTGTGTGGAACCCAGGACTTTTTAACATAGCTTTGATGCAGTTCCTTTAACTCACCAGGTGGTGTCGCCAGAACTTGTCACAATCTGGTTGTCATCAAGGAAGCGGCAGCAAGAGAGGTATCCTGTAGATGAGAGCAAGCTTAATACACACCTCCAACAAACAACATCTAAAGAAATGAATTATATTTTGCTTAAATGCAAAATAACCATGAATAAACAAGACATCATTGGATGAGGATGATCACTGTACACTGAAAACAAATATTTTTGCTAAACTGCAAACAATGAATGTGGATTGAAACTAAATAAAATTAGTAATGTTTAACTAAACTTGTTAAATTCAGCCCAAATAAATGAAAAATAATTGAGCAAATTTAATGAAGAGTATTTTCAGTGTATTAAATAAATTCATAAAATGAATTTCAAGGTAAAATTGTCTTAAAAATAGTATAACTTGTAAAAAAAATCTTTTACTGGCCCTAAAATATCTGTATATAAACATAAAATATTGTTTTGCCATTTATCACTTGATTTAGGGGTGAGAATGACCCGGGCTTCACCCATAGGGCAATCAAAGAGAATGAAAGTGCATTATGTAATCACTGCTGTCCTCATTAAGGTCAATCAGATGAGACCCGTTTAAAAGGATACAAAAACACCAGCGCAGATACGCTGAGTAATTACAGCTCTGCCAAACACCAAACCCTGTGACGAGTCCCTTACCTGTGTGTCCGGCCAGCTCACGACTGACGCGCACGTTCCCCTCACGAGTCTTGAGGCTGTAGATGGAGCAGATGTTGTCCAGGCCTCCGCAAGCGACGTAATTCCCTGAAGGAGCGTAGGCACAGGTCATCACCCAGGAGGAGCGCAGAGGAATGGCGTGGACCTGAAATACAACACAACCATGATGAAGAGGAAAATATTTGCAGCAAAGAAAACAACATTCTCACAGATCTTAATCAGTGGCAAGACAAGTTCCTGTTAAAGAAAAAAAAAAAAGTGCACGGTATATAACGAAACTAGATGTCTACCCAATGTAAATGCTAGCCAAAGGTATTTTGCAAACAAGTTTCAGTCAAGGTGTCATTTTCAGTTTCAGCCTGGACAAGCAACAATGTTTAACAGTTTTCCTTTTAGTATATCCGAGTAATAACAGCAGCTTACAAACAGCGATACCAGTAAATATCTGGAAATTTTCAGAACGACTTCACCTGTAAATTTAAGTTTGCACCGTTCACACAGACAAAGGCATACCAACATTTTCCCACCAACATGTCCATTTCAAAATATTTGTAAATTCTGACATGATTAACTAAAATTGACCTCTAAATGGCTGTGCTTTTAGTAAACAACTGTACATCTAAAACTTCATGAAGTCAGATTTATTGGGCCTCCTTATTAATTAGATTAGGGCGTGCTCACACTAGGTACAGTTGCCTAGAACCGTGCTGAACGCGATTGTCCCCCCCTTCCCCTCTCCCCTGACAGCCTGCACTCATACTGCCGCTTGTCTTCCGAACCCGAGCGCGCTTACATCATCGATGATACGCCTGTTCAGTTTAACAGGAAGAGAAGTGCACTCACTCTGAACAATGGCGATTGCTTTAGTTATATCGTTTTAGTCGTTTGGGATTCAGTGACATGCAGTCAAGTCTTTTGCTGAACAGATCCACAACTTTTGACCATCATAAATGTTCATAAAGTCCTTGTGCTGCAGGTATTAGGACGTTTGTTAAAGGTGCAGCTGATGTGCAGCGAGGGGTTTGTGTCTTTAATAAACTATGACCAGTTTGTGCTCATTAAAAAGTGAGAATGATTAATAAATCCTTATGAAACTCTCTCTTAAAAATGACAATGCGTCTTCAGTTTTGGGCTCAGGCACTCTTTGCACTCGCACTACAAACGTACTGCGCCAAAGCCCAACTGAGCCGCGCTCTGGCACACCTCTTCCAACCGGGTCAGGGTTGGCCAACTGAACCGTCCTTGAACCTGATTTGGATCGCTCACACTTGTCAAACAAACCGGGAAGCGCGTCTGGGTACGCTTCTGATCGCATAGTGCGAGTATGCCCATATTAGCCCCCCATATATATTTTTTTCCCCCATATTTCGGTTTAACAAAGATTTTGTTACACATTTCCAGACATAATAGTTGTAATATCTAATTTCGAATGACTGATTTCATTTATTTTTGCCGTGATGACAGTAAATAATACATGACTAGATAGATGTTTTAAAATACTAGTATTCAGCTTTAAGTGACATTTAAAGGCTTGACCAATTTGTAATTAGGCAAGTCATTGTATAATGAGGTTTTGTTCTGTAAACAAAAAAAATTGCTTAAGGGGGCTAATAATATTGACCTTAATAAAAAAACATAAAAAACTGCAAGCCAAAATAAAACAAACTAATTTATCCACAAGAAAAATATATGACAGGAAATACTGAGAAAAATTCCTTGCTCTGTTAAACATCATTAGGAAAATATTTGAAAAAGGAAAAAAAAACATTCACAAGAGGGCAAATCATTTTGACGTCAACTGTATGTGCAAAAGCAAGCAAGACCAACAAATACAAATTCACTCATAAGTTAAGACTGATTTATACTTCTGCATCAAGCACACATGTATGGTCTGGCGCAGCCTCCGCAAGATCGCATTACCCTTGCCGTGGCCGACACGCATCCCCCAAAAAACATTTGCTCTATATCAACAACATGCATATAGCGCAAGCTCTGTGATTGGTTAGCTTGGTAGCTGTGACAAGTGTGGGCAGCGCTTTTATAATGGCCATTATTGATTATTAAAACTGATATTCAGAAAAAGAGAGGGTATGTTTCCTATTTTCAATGAAAATGAAAAGAGCCAGTGTAATGTTATAGGCTCCGTTTTGTTATAGATATGCATACAGCGAAAATGAACATTTTTTGTGACTGTTAAGTTAATATAAAAATGAAAATAGGCAGTTCCTTATATTATGTTTTCATTTTATTGTTAACAAAGTGAAACAACGTAGCCAGGGTGACGTGAAAGAGGCTATAAAGTACACTGTTCCCTGAAGATGTCCTCTGGAGTTTGTTTTCAATATTAAACTTGCGATGTCTGAACTTACAAAAAGAGGATGCAAGAAGGAACTTTGTTTAGGCTACTTAATATTGAAGAAAAAGCCCCGATCAGATGGGCAAATGTCTGCAGCCACGCCTGCGTTTTCAGATGTCTCTGTTTGCCCCAACCCACACTAACACAGAGCAGCAGTGTTTTCAAACTAAAACGGCCTCTCCAGCGTTTTCAAAATGCTCCACTTACGGCGCTCGAAAACTCCTGCGTAGTGTGGAGGGATGGCGTAACATAGCAAAACTTATGAGCTTTAAAAACAAAATGTATTAGTGTAAACGGGGCCTAAGGTAGCATTCAGGAAAAAACAAAACACAAGTGAAGAAACAACACAGAGAAACACAAAAAACTACTGTCAGCTAGCATTTGGGAAGTGTTATAGCAGAGCAACACAAACTGCTGAAGTATAAACACACAACTAGACGTAAAGCTACCGCCATGAATCATGGCGATCACTCGACACAGAAGAATAAATCAGCCTTCAATATTCACCAATAATTTGTATATTTTTATAATTAGTACGAGACATTTATATTTAAAGTATTAACACCATTTTTTAACTTGTGCAATTAAAAATAAGTGGTTTATAGAGAACATCCATAACTGCTTTTTTTTATACTTATATTTTTTTTTCTGTGCAATTTTGCATGTTTTGTGTGTAATGCAGTGGTCACCAAACTTGTTCCTGGAGGGCCGGTGTCCTGCAGATTTTAGCTCCAACCCTAATCAAACACACCTGAACAAGCTAATCAAGGTCTTACTAATGTAACTTAAAACACTCGGGCAGGTGTGTTGAGGTTAGTTGGAGCTAAACCCTGAAGGGACACCGGCCCTCTAGAACCAAGATTGGTGACCCCTGGTGTAATTACACCAATTCAAACATGTCAAAACACATGATGGTAAATCAAACAATTTCATACCTTATTTGTGGTATAACTGTCCCAAATAATGAGTTTTCCATCCTGGGAAGCACTGACAAGCAGCCTAAATAAAAAATACAAGAAAACAGCTGAGTGAAGTGTGTTTATGGATGCAAAAAACAATCAGAACTGTCTCCTAGCACAATCTTAAACTATTCCCAGCTTAATTTGTCCAAAATAAATAAATAAATGGGAAAAAAAACTTATGGATTTTTCCTGGCTGTAGCTATAATAGTAACAACATGCTTAGTCATAACACCTACTTACAACCATCATTTACCACCTACACAAACACAATAAAAGAATGTGATTCAATGTGATAGGGATTGCATGCAGTGGCCACCACAAGAGCCGTGAACCCATCCACCTCCACCGCGAAAGGGAAACCCCTCAGTGCATCTCAGCATGATGTAGAAGAATGTTTTACACACTGAAAAAGGTCAAGCAGTCATGCAAATAATGTGGAGCTTTTTTCCCAAAGCACACCGTACCTGGAATCCGTGCCCCAGTGCATGGCGTAGATTTTAGCCAAATGCCCTCGCAGTGTTCTTCTTGTGCGCATCTGGATTCGGCCAACAGGGTCGATGTTGGCTGTGATCTGAAAGCACATGCACAAATTAAAAATACATAAAATGTTCGTGTACAAACTGTTATAGATATTCATCTGATCATTTCAATTAGGTTTACTTAAATGATAACAGAAATTAGGTGGTTACCTGTGATAGTGTGGCATCTGCACAAGCTTTCCTTGCATCCTACAAAAAAAAAAGCAGGTAGAAACAAATTTAGACACTGTGGGTGAGGGTATTACTTAATGATTTTGTAATATACAAAACATTTGGACATCATGATTTGGTTATAATAATGCAAGCCAAACTAGATTACATCATCGACTTCTTGCTCATATAGAGAATCCTAATTTGTAGAATTATTATGGTTAATTTTATCATTGATTGATTGATTTTGACTAAAAGGTTAAAGATTTGACACACATTATGGGTTATTAGACTAAAACAGAACAGAAAAAACAGAATTGGTGAACAAACACATCTCTAAGGTGATATGCAAAGCATCCTGATGGAGATCGTATCTGCTACTTACTGGAACGCGGTGAGGAATGAGAACAGTACAGTTACAGTAAAAGTATTTCCTGCAGTGTGTAAACTATGTAAATAACCACCCTCTGTATTTAAATGTCTTTTGTTTATGCAAATATTCTTGAGTAACAAGATACTACCAGGTAAAAAGGCAGCGAAAGATAAAAATAAACATACGGCTCCGACACGCATGTACATTTGCGACGGTTTTTGAAGCAGGTCTAGTTTTGATTAAACCAAAGTGATTAAAGTTTATATCTTCATAAATAAGACATGTGATCAGCGAAAGGCCAAAACACACAAATAAACGAGGTTACAGTCTGCATTAATCCACATCTAAAAATACTATTTGATAATGTCTGATTGTTCACTCAATATAAATATACATTTATTCATTTAGTAGACCACTTATTCCAAAACAACTTTAAACTGAGGAGCAAGTTAAGCAGTTTGTATGGTTTCAAGTAGTGATGTAACTATACTGGAATTGGATACCAATCAGTACTGATATTGTAAAAACGTTAATTTCCCACTAACATTTGAGCGCGTTCTTAAACAGCGCTGATTTGCCATTGTGCTCACGTGCTCAACAGAAATGGCTGTGATTGGCCATGAAAGTAAATAGTTCACCGACCTCACTGCATCTTTACGGAGTGTAACCACAGATACAGGGGCACTGAAGCGTTTTAAAGCCGAGAACAGTCGATCTGTAGTTACACTCAGTAAACAGCAGTGAGTTCGGTGAACTGATGACTTTTACGACCAATCACAGTCATTTCTGTTGAGCATGTGAACACAATGGCAAATTAGTGCTGTTGAAAATGCACTCAACAGCGCTCAAATGTTAGTGGAAAATGGACGTTGATAAAATCTCAGTACTGATTGGTACCGAATTCCAGTATCGTGACAACACTAGTTTCGAGTTAAACTTGGAAAAAGTGGAATGGCCTTACATTTATTAAACACATTTAGCAATTGTAGTCTACTGAATATTACATTAGCCTTGTTGCGGTGTTACCATGTTCCTGTAGGAACCACACATTTGCAACTTCCGCCCAGGTGGAGCTTTTTCTACCTTTTTAAAACACAAATTTACACATTTACAGCAGTCATCCCACTGAAAATCTGAAAATATTAATCATATGAAGAAAAAAATAAAAAACATCCCTGAAAAACATGAACATTCTTTTTTTTTATAATATTTTAATTAAAAACAATGCCGTGATAAACTGAATAATGAGTACATATTTGGCAATTTTCTAAGTATTAAAAATCTGTCATCCATTAAGATTATTCAGAATTGATTTTTTCAAACTGCGATCATACCATTAATGCCATTTTACCAAAGTAGTTGCAGTATAACATATACATTTAAACTATTCACTGTGCTACAGATATGGTTTTGGGAAGCAGTCGAGTTTAATATCAGAGAGGTGCTCACTCTGATCTGGTTCTTCAGCTGCTCAGCCTCCTGGCGTAACTGGTCGAGTTCACTCATTTTCCTCTTCTAAAGCTCTGCCTCTCTCCTACTGCCGGGACACGTTCTGATCTGCAGCACAGAAAGAGACAGAAGAAGCATTTAGGATCCAATCCCGATCAATGCACAGATTAAAAAGGAAGATATCTGATCAGTTTTAGATGACGGACTAACAAATGTTTGAACTTTAATGTGGATTTTGTTTTATGAATGAAAACCAAGCAAGCATCAGATTGAAACGCACATAATGCTCACCAACAGAGGGAATAATCACTGCATTTAGCATGTCGTGTACCACAGGTTAATGGACTGGCCAGTGGATTGTTTATCAATACATGAGGGTGTAAAGCCAAGATCCTCCCCCCCCCCCCCCCCCCCAACCACCACATTAGCTACTGAAAGCAACTAAAGAACCATTTCCTCTTGTGGTGAAATGAGTTGTTGCTCCCTAATGAAAAATGCAGAAGTAAAGGGAAAAACAGCACAAGCTGTGATTCTTTCTTTGAATTATGACAATATTTAGCAAGATGAAATATATACACCTCATCCCAAACTCTAAAATGCCATTTTACCACCATAAAGTGGCATATTACTAGAGTAACCAGGATATTCAAAGAGAATATAGGGCAGGACTCGATTTTACCCATTGGGAATTGATTGGATGATGAAAACTGGGCGCTACATTCAAGAATGGGGTCATGCGGTTGGAGGGAGGGGCTGAAAAAATTAGGGGGGCTTGATGACATCAGCTAAAAGGGAAAGAGACGTTTCAAAGGCGGAGCATTTACAAGAGACGACGTGAATGTGAATTAGGAACGTTAAAACTGTGAATTTCATTTCATACGAAAGACCAATGGCACCTGAGAGCTAGCGTTAAAGGTTAAAATGCTCAACAAGGAAGCTAGCAACTCTTCTTTGGTCTAATCAAAGTGCTGCTTTCCCATGCTGATTCCAAACAGCGATTCCTTTATAAAAATAACCCAACGCACTGTGAAACCCTTAAAGCCTGTCCATTTTAATCTTGATTTAGTGCAAACACACTCGACCGACAACAGCGAGTACTTCTAGGCCAGCTCTCATCCTATTAGCGTTCCCAGCCCAGAGCCGTGTTTTCACACCTCGCTCTCTCTCTCCACAGTGTCATTGACATAATCCTGGGACACGCTTGATTCAGCTCCTTCAGGCAAATCCAGTTAAGACACACCGGGGACACTGATCGGAAGAGCAGCACCTATCCTGCTGACCCAAATCCTTCATGCGCTCAGACAAACGGCTGATGAAGGCAGCTGTTTTAATGGGCCATCGGAGTGTGCGCATTTAACGGTGGAGAAAGGCAGCTAATGACGGGATTAATTTTAGAGATAGGTGAAGAGCGAGGAGAGGATCTGCAAGAATGCGATGACGAACAGCAAACACTTCAAGTTTGATGCATGTATTGTGCAACGTGCACACACACATAGCCAAGAATTCTGCGTTATACTCAGATTCTAAAAATATATTGAGGAAGATTTGGATGAGCAGCTAAGGCCAAGTTGCATTCATGGACATTTATTGATGGTACTTTAAAGTGCTGGAGCATGCAAAATTATTGCAGGGGTTTTGTTTTGGCCAGCTAGAACATGCAGAAATATTGATTTCAATTTATTTTTGGCAGGCAATTGAACAACTCGATCTAACCGCCCAAATAAACACACCACTTTGCATCGTCTTCTCATGTACTACAAAAACGTTTAAGAATTGACCATTCTAGGCCATCGTCATACGACCTACTTTAAAAAGGAGTCAAGCAAAATGACTTTCAATTCAAATGTAGAACAATTTGCAGCTGCGCAATGTCTTGACTCTCAAGCAGCCGTCATCTTTTCCATTAGCCTGATCTCAGTTGTCAGATTTGAGCTTGAGTTAAGAAGAACATCATCTAGGCCAGGACAGGAGAAAGGATGAAGAAATAGTGACAATCACAACCTTTTTCAAGCTCTATGGGTCAGCTGAGGACTGTGAAGCAATTAGCAATACTTCTGAGTGATATTAGCACTATATAAGAGGGAAGCCACACATATGCTTGTTACTCCCAGATGTCTGTGGTCAGGCAATCTAACTGGAGCACTACAAATTTGGTTGGATCCATTTCCTGTAATTGCCATTGGCCTCTGGTGCATTATGCCATGTCCTAATTGTGAAATCAATGGCTCCATGTTTGAAAAGTGAAAGTTAACTGCATAAATGAACTAAGCTAATGGCATATTGGAAGAACACAAACATTTTTGGAGGGTTTTCATGAACACAACCCAATGAAAGGATCAAGCATTCAATGAAGGTGGTTTTCCTGGCGATCAAAACATTACAAATGTTTAGAAATTCACATGCATAGCAAACACCGCAGAAACTGACAAAGAGTGGTAACAAGGAAACAAACGAAAAAATTTAACAAGTCTAAAAACACGCTTTAAATCTTACAGATAAAATATTGAAAGTATGCTGAAGACAACGAGCGCATCTCCCTCCAGCTGCATGCGGAGAAAATCTTAAGATGCTGGAATCACTGAAACATGGCCAAAACCTTTAAGTTCCTTAAAGTTTCAGGTTATACTTCAAAATTCTTACCTTATGCGGCTCACACAAGGCTCCTTGTGTTTGACAGCCAGAAAATGTTTCTCTTGGTCAATGTCTTATCCTTTCCTATACTCTTGCCTGTTCCTGATTGGCTGACCTCTTAAATGGACCCGTATCAAGACAATACGCCTAAGTCCTCTAATCTTGCTGATCAAAATGACATGGTTACAAAAGGTAAGTCCCTTACCTCACCTTCAGTTCTCATTTAACAGTGAAACCCAACATGAAAATATCCATACTGAAATTCTAGTAGCAAAAATTTTTTTTAAAAAAAATCAACAACTACATCGCCAATCCAAAAGTACAATTTATATTTAAATTTTTTAGGGAAAATAGATGCATATAAAGAATGTATAGCTTTAATAATTAAAAAAAATCATGTGTACACAACACTAATTGTACAGATTTCCAATATCAAACTATCAGCATCAATATCAGTGTAGTCAATAACCCCCAGCCCCCAAAAATATGCAAAATATGTAAAAATATGTATTTACTTATGTCTGAAAAAACAAGAAGGGCTACAACTTTAGCTTTAAAAACAATCCCTTGGCAATATACATCAAAAAAACCTAACATGACCAAATTCTTTTTAAAATGCACACTACACATTTACGAGCAGAAACACACTCTACAACTTGAACTGCAAAGTTAAATGCCTCCAAAACTAACCTACTGAGACTGATGCACATAAAAAAAGGATAAATAAATAATAAAAAACAACACTTCTCACTTTATATTATTTAAAACCTGGAAAAAGAGCCCAAATATTACTAATTTACAGTATTAGCTTAATCATCCTGTTATAAAAACCACTTTAACAATGACAGATTATGATACGGTCATCAATTTATGCAAAGCTAGAATTTAACAATGTAGTTCAGTGTTCAAAATCAAGAGCAGGGCTCGCTCTTTGCCGAAATGAAACTTCATTATGCATAAATACTGGATATGCTGTGCCAAAGGCCAGATGCAAAGATAGCACAAAAGCAAAGTCGAATGGCTAAATGCAGTAAGGCATCAACATATGTGCAAGCAGAGCTCAATCTCACCCTCTCAACAAACACTTGATCAGAGTCAGCTGACTGCAGGACAAAAAGAGAGCTGTAAGAAATGGCCTAAAGGTGCCACAGACTGCGTATTCTCAGGTCACTCTAGGGCAACTCGTTCTTAGATCCTTTTGGAAAACATTTATTTTAACCAACCCTTTTTTTCTTGCTGATCTGAACACATTTAAAACGTTTCATTTGACGAACTTTATTCCATCAACATGAATTACACCAAATGTTTGAGGATGGCGCGGCTTATTAGGCATTAACAAAAGAAAAATAAAATGCATATCGCTAAAGCTGGATCATAGAAAAGACAGTAACCAGCACTATCACTATCCAAGCCTGTAATCCTAAAAGCTAAAATCCACGTACAGTAAATCTATAATCCCTCTCAGCGTCACCCATGGAAAAACAGCTGTCCAGAGCTGGGCTTGCAGTACACAAGAATTTGTGGTAGTGTTTCAGGGGAGCTTAACCTCTGTATTAAAGTATTTACTAGACTTTTATTATTTATGCTATACCAACTTCTAGCTATCATTCATGCAAATAAAGGTAACTTTAAATTAGGCATGTACCGGTGTAAGATTCTGACAGTATGATAACCCTGGATAAAAATATCACGGTATTATGATTACAGCTCTAAAATATGTTCTCTTTAAATTCATAGTTAAAAACAAAAACTTTTCCCCCATTGAACATAGCATATTTCATTTTGAGAAACATTTTAAATATTTTGGAGCAGTAAACATGTCAGGCTAAATCGTTAAAATGAATGATTGACCTCTACGGTCTTCATCAGTCTCTAAAACAAAGATTTCTTTACAATTTTAAACAAGATTTTTGAATAACTTTTTTTTGCTGAAGATACTGTGGTCCTAAAAATAAAACGTAAATACATTTTTTTTTTTAAATCACATACCTTAGGGAAAGTATAGAAGGTAAAGAAGGGTTTAAAACCTTGACTTTTCCAAACTGCGGTATATCATAAAAACGGTTATCGTCCCATGCCTACTTTAAATACAGAAACTATTTTTTGGGGTAAAAACTTGATAAAAAAATAATGCAATTGAGCAATTCCAACGCTATGGATGTATAAATTCAGTAAAAACTCAAACCTTAAATTCACAGAAAAAGTTGATGTGAACATTATATCGAAAAATCGGTTTATATTTCCAGAATCACAGAGTTATGGGATCAGAAAAAAATCTCTGTAAACATATTTTAGATTTTAAATAAAGAAAGTAAACATGCATTATGGATGATGAAAAAAAAAGTCTGCAAGTTTGCAGTATACAACATACTTTATAGAAATTCTATGAATTAAACAAAGCAACCCAAAAGAAACAATGCTAATTAAAAGGATAAGAGTTGTTCCTCTACAGAGCAAACATGACTTATTTTACCTTAGATTTTTGCATTTATGAGATGAAAGTTATGGATGTGGCAGATGTGAAATTGCCACTTGTGTGACTTTGCTAAATCAAATATAATAGTTTGAAAACATTGACAGAGAGATTTTTGAGTAGTGTAAGCACTGCAAAGTATTTGCCAACACCAAAAATGTAGAAACAGTTTCGTTATTTTGGTTGAAGCTTAGTTTTTTCATGACAAGGCTGACATTTACATGGAAATGCTCAAATCTCAACATGCTTGCATTAAAACACCTGCGAAAACAAATGGGCGTTAGTTTGAAAATCAAAATAGATATTCAGAATTACATTATCTGAATAGATTTCAATTATTCCATCATAATTATACACATATCAGCTTCTGAGGTGCCCACTGCGAATCAATCTGATGCTTTTAGTTATCCACAATTACAAAACTGCATGTGTATCAATGCAGATTGCACAATGTATAATGCAAATGGATTACAAGTAATGCTTCAGCAAATGTAACACTGCCGAGTAAAACATGAACAATGACTATAATAAACATGATAAGCAAAGAACCAACTTAGGTGCATAAAAAGCAGGATGTCTGGGAGGGAGTTAAAAACAACAATGTATGCAATGAATCATCCATTATGCTTTTGTTTTAAAATAAAATCAAACAAAAGTGCATTATCTAAACACAAAAGGGTATTGTGAGAGCTTATGTGCATGACTGCAAAGAAATGTCTACATTTATAGCACCAGAAGCACAAGTTGAAATCAACAAAATGTGAACGATCACGTCACGGTGGACTCGAAACACTATTTGATATTTCACAATTGCATTTCGCGTCATAAAGGATGAGGTTATGCAGCTTTAGGTGCCACACAAAGAGCATTTTATTTAAAAAAAAACGATAAACTCTAGCTTCAAAATATGTTCCTGGAATCGTTTTTAAAACAACGAGCTTCGTTTAAGAGCAAAACGGTGCTTTTTTCGGCGTTTCAGCGGGTTAAATGAACGGCATGCTGATATGAGTGCGGAGAGGGAAGCCGGAGAGAGAGGCTACGGACGCCATCTTGTTCTTGGGCCCCACATTGAAGAATTCATTGATTCCGTTTATTTATTCATGAACGGTGTTCCTTTATCTAAATGCCAGCGAAGAGAAAGGCAAACTCGATCGGTAGGGGAAAAAAGAAGGAGGGGGCGCAACATATTTATCCCATAGCCTATATTTCCCCGACCAATCCCTTAATAGTGACCTCAATACTGAGCCGCTAGCCCGTTCTTAAAATATTCCAGCAGCGATGATAAAGGCCATCCGGCTCCATTCATTTCGCGTATCTGAAGAACTGCAAAGCTCTTTGCTGCATTACTCTGATACACGATCGCAGGAGAAAACACATCTAGCAGGTCTTTTATTCTTTATCGTCAGCAAAAGCAATTCAGCGAGAATCGTAGCGGAGCATCACCGAGATGTCGCGAAGAGAGGCAGTGCACCTATATACCTGAACAGCAAAGGCCCTTTAAACACAGGCTTAATGAAATCCAATTAGGTTGTTTAAAAGAGTAGTTAAAAGAAGCAGCGCACACTTAACGCAATAAACATTAACACGAGCTAAGTCGCTTAAATGCACACGGGATTTCGGATTACGCCATTCTGACTCGTAATAAATCCATCTCCATGTAAATGTGTGTAGGGGAAAACACACTAGGACGGCTTGTAATATACAGCCAGATGGTGTAGATTGCAATAGACGATCGGGTGAACAAATAAATGGCTAATCTTTATTTACCGACTGCATTTCGATCAATATTCACTTGTAGTACACGAGAGTGTGTAAACCAGCATTTGCCTAACCAAAAATCCTCGATTCTGTAACACAGAGGAAGGCCTAGCTGAGCTGAAAAGCCGAATATTTTGCCAGCAGAAGCTCCGGTAATTAGCCTGTTAGCTTACAGACCAGCCTCCAACCAAAACCCCCCAAACTTAACATTTAAAGCAATCTTAATTGCTATTAAAATGCCCCTATCAAGCACATTACTGAATTCCCCCAAACCTAAATTGGTTTAATTCTGAAGTAACGCCGATTTTTGGGTGCTAACAAGCGAACTCGCACTAAACGGCCTCCGGTTAAGTCGGCCGACTCAGTTCACGCCATAATGACCGAGCGAGAGATTAAATGCACTATAAATTCACATTAATAAAACACACACGATGATAACTGTTTAAAACAACCGTTTTTCGCATATTTGCCTGCCACTGTTGTGTATGTAAATCGCTCGGCTAGCCGCTACCTGCGCCTCACCCCACCCCCCTTCATTCTCTATGGTGACCAGCATTTTATCCAACAAATTCACCCGATTAGAACGAAACATTCAGTTCCACACACTTGAAATAAGCACATAGTGTTCCATACCTGTTCTCAGTCGTAAATGGCCTTTGTTTATATGGCATTGACCGAAAAAAACGATGGTGTGGCTGTCAAATCCACGCATCAACGAACAAGACGAGCTAGCTCGCTAACTAGCAGCGGGAGAAGTACCGAGTCCACTTCCACAGCGACAAAACTCGCTCCGGCGGGCGGGAAATGAGCCTGTACGAGGGGGGATCTCAACTGCGAGGAAAAGCTGCACTCATAAATGTCCGATTGGAGACTTTGGTCAGCTAATAAGTCCGTCGGTGGCCACTTCCCGTTGCCTTCCTTGAAGGAACACTTCTCTCCAGTTCAGTTCACCTCTCATCCGGCCATCAGACGGAGATGGGCGCGGTAACCCTGCAGTCTGCCCTGGGAAACCCCACGCCGCAGCGCACGGGCGAGCGGCGCTCTTACGCAGGAATGGAATTGACAGAAACATTTCCAAGCCAATTTAGCAAGATTTGAATACACTGATGTACTTTTTAAAATGCTTAACGTTTTTAAAAATATTATACAACCCATATTCCATTAATAGATTAACCTGAGCAAAGACTTTATGGAGAAGACCGAGGCTTTGTCACAATTTACTACAGAACAGGTTTTTCTCTATAGGTTTAGCTGTACTTTGTTTGAAGTGAGATTTTGATATAGGCACAAGTGCAAATTTAGAGATTTATAATAATAATTATATTAACAAAATCATTTGAGAAAAGTATTGTTTGCTAATTCTGAATAGTTAAATCATATTCGCAGCCAATGACTATCAAAGTAGTCCAACAGTGTTGATGTTAATAGTGCTAATGTTGTTTTGAGAAATCGTGTAGGGGACTTATATAATTACAGTGAATTTATTAACACTTTTGGTTTAAAAAAATACTTTGAATAAATACAAAAAAAAATGTGTTCATTGTATCTCCCTAAAATAAATGTACCTTATTAAAACCACAAAAATATATAACCATGTATCTGGCTCTCTTCCAGAGCTTACTATTAAGGGCCTCTCTATCATGGATAAAAAACTGAATAACAATTATATCAGGAAAATCCTGACTGCAGATAAAAGTGTTCCTCTAATAGCAATGGTTAAATGGAAACAAGCATTCCCTTCATTCTTTTCCCCCAAAACTCTGGTCAGATTTTACAAAATACATACTTCCCAATAAAGTAAAATAAACTATTTGTAAAATATTACATAGATATTATCCATGCAATGGTTTTATTAGTAGGTTTAAGGAAGGTTTTTCACCTTTGTGTTGTTTTTGTAAAATGGAACTGGAAACAATTCTTCATTAATTTTTCAGTTGCAGTTACACAAAACGGCTTTGGTCCCAAGTTTTCTCACTACTTTTTGAAGTGTATTGTAAATTTATCAATATAACTGATAAAATGGTTTTATTTATGGACTGCAACTCTGGGAAATGGACAAAATAACAAAAAAAATCTTATTTTATTTGGAAAGTATCACATCCGCAAAACAAAATGTATGCTGACTGTATTAAAGTGTAAACTATTCTTCATTGATCTAAATAATTTTATGATTCCCTCACTTCTATACAGAGTAATACTAAAGTTTAAGACATCCCAATTGCTGGAAAAATACTTAATGTACATAATTAATTTTTGTTGTTAATTTTCTTGAATACTGTTTAATGTATAATTATGTACTCCCCTGTTTAATCAATAAATTTTTTTTTGTTTTGAAGTCGTATTTGCACGCGATTTCAGAATATTCAAAGTAACATGCTAAACAAGAGCGCATGTAACAAGTTGTTACTGAACCAATGTGTGAATATAAAACCAACTTTACATTAATTTTTAGGGGCCCTAAGCAATTCCACCCAAAGGGCCCCAACAATTCTAAAATGCACCCTTTGTACTTTTATTTATATATTTATTTTTTCTTATATCACTAAATCTCCTTTTCTATGTTTTATCATAATGCAATCTCTACATCTTAAATAATTAGTTTGATTTAAATAAAAATACAACTGAAATAATAAATAGACTATTTCGTTTTTAAAAACAAAATCTTTGCCAGATTTGACTGCGGGTTACGTAAAAACATTTGCTGGAATAGTTGGGGGTTCATTCTGTCGTGGCAACCTCTGATAAATTAGAGATTGATAAATCAGAGACAGAAAATGACTGAATGACTGCTCTATAATTCTGGATGGGGTGCAAATTTGCGTAAATGGAATAATAACATTAATATTTTATTTGTTAGACCTTTACCATAAAAAAATTGTCAGAAAGTTCTGTGATGCAGTGCTAAGCATAAATTAGTACACCCCTCACAAATTTGTCTTTTATCTTTTCATATTTATAATAGGAAGCTATACAATATTATATATGTGCATTAGATTAGTAAGTACAGAAGCCAAATCTGAAGCTAATCTAACAAAATACTACAATCTACAATAACAGTCCAAAAACAAGTACAGCCAAATTTATGTTATAGAAAAATATTAGGAAAAATCAAGAGAAGCAAAAAAAAATTTGTAGGTTGAAATTTTTTTTTTGCAATATTTAGCTTGAATTTAATTGTTTTATATTTAATTTCAAAATATGTTTAGTGACTAAAATACTAATTTTAATAAATATATCTGTTTAATAAATCTGTTTTATTTAAATGCACGAAAACATATTGCCTACATTCACTGAGAAATAAAAATATTCAGTTTCTAAATGAGTTGTGCTAAATAATGCTGAGCACTCAATAATTTATAAGTATTATTTATACTTCTAGATATGGCGGCCTCTAGATTTCCTAGGGCCCGTAAGCGGCTGCTTACCTCTCTTATTGGTTAAATCCACCCTTGTATAGACGTGACAACAAAAACAACTGATATTTCTATTGCTATTAAAAAAAAAGAAAACTATATTTTGGTAATGTTTGTTTGACTACCAAAAATCTTGTGTAAAAGTAACTATTGGTGAGGAAAAAACTAATTTAACATAAAGGTAAATTGCTTCAATTATACTGCAAACAAACATTATTGTCTATGAATTAATGTAGTAATTTAATCAACAAACAGGAAAAAATGTCTGATATTTCATGACTTGGACAAAAATATATTAAAAAATTATAAAGTTCAATGTCTAGAACAGGCGCTTTAATAAAAATCCATGATATCCCAGAAAGTCCATGACCTGTGGGGATCCTGTATAAAATAGTTGCTCACTGACAGAATGATTGATTACCTTTAACGTCCACTGCCAGTTAATGGTCACCATTGACTTCCATTGTATTTTCTCACACTGGAACTCAATGGTGACCATCGACTGTTCGGACACCATCATTTTTCAAAATGCAGACAGAAACTTAAAAAGAGAGTCAAAGAGGTTTGGACAGTGTTTTCATTTGGGAAGGGAACAACATCTTTGTGTAATTATTAATTAATATTTATGTATTTATTTTTTAATTAAATATTTTTTATTTATTTATTTTATTTTATTTCTTTTATTTATGTTTATTTATTTATGTTCATTTGTTTATTTACTTATTTATTTATTTATTTATTTATTTATTTATATTTATTTATTTATTTATTTATTTATTTATTTATTTATTTATTTATTTGTGTTTATTTATTTATTTTTCTATTTATTTATTTATTTTTCTATTTATTTATTTGTGTTTATTTATTTATTTATATTTTTGGGCTCAAGCATAAGTAAATTACTTTAGTCATATTTACATTTAAATTCAAGCATTCGGCATATGCTTTTATCCAAAATAACTTATAAATGCAAAGTAACAAGTAATGAAAGCTCAAATTCCTCAATTATTACAAATTACTCAAATGCATACAAACATAGATAATATACATGAAGAAGGAGTGTGTGTGTGTGTGTGTGTGTGTGTGTAGTGTCCGATTTAATGTTTAACTCCATACAGAAATGTCAACAGGACCAGCTTCTAGCCTCCACCACGGTGACTGCAGCTCTGCACAAGACTTTTGGCCAGCGGAAAAATTAAAATGGTCGTCCCCAACTGAGTCTGGTTCTCTCAAGGTTTTTTTTTCTCCACTCCTATCAGGTGAAGTTTTTTATCCCTCTCCGCTGTCGCCACTGGCTCGCATGGTTCAGGATTGGTAGAGCTACGCATCGATGAATTTGCTCTTCAGTGTTTGAACTCTAATGATTTTAAATCACACTGAACTGAGCTAAACTGAACTGAACTTAAACACTAAAAAACTGAACTACACTGTTCCAGTTACTATGACCATTTATGTGAAGCTGCTTTGACACAATCTACATTGTAAAAGCGCTATACAAATAAAGCTGAATTGAATTGAATACACTAGGACCAATTTAGTTTATTCAGTTTATAGCGCATATGTTTGGACTGTGGGGGAAACCAGAGCACCCAGAGGAAACCCACTCGAACAAGGGGAGAGCATGCAAACTCCACACAAAGTCAACTAATCCAGCTGGGACTCAAACCAGTGACCTTCTTGCTGTGAGGTGAAAGTGCTAACCACTGAGCCACCGTGCCGCCCTAGTATTGCAAACGCCATGAATTGAAACTTCATCATACATTTTTCATTTTATTCTTTTTCAATCACCTCTGTAAAGTATTACTAAATATAAATGACTAAATATGTTATTATTAGCCAAGGAATAGTCATGTGTCTTTCTTGTGTGTTTACCACAATATTTGTTTTGTATTTCAAAATACGTCAAGGATTACCAACAGTACAATAAAGCATGTACAAAAAATATGTAATTTGAAATGTATTTTTTTATTAAAATGAGGAAGTACAAGAACTTTAAAAGCTATTATGCGATTCTCTTGGGACGTATTAATTTTCAACACGCTATATTGATGAGCTTTTGTAAAATAATGCACAACTTCCTTTTACTTTGCTATAGATTTTTGCCTCCTGATTCGTCAGTGTACGGGACATTCTACCAGAAACTGATATTATCTGTCCTGAAATAAAAACATACAGTAAATATAAGGTATTTCATCCCAAAAATGTCTAAAATGGAATGATGGTTGATTTATGTGAGTTGTTTTGTATAAATATAGGTAGGTAGGTTACTTTATTTATACCCAAAGGTAGATTTGGTTTGCAGTCAAGAGTACCCATCTCATAACAGTGCCAAACTCAAAGGAACTCACATAGTAACAACAACAAATGAACAATAAGACATAAACCGTAAACATAAAGAATAAATAAATAATCACTTTAGGTGTCCACCCACCACCCCCTCCCAAGTAAATGTTTAAAATGATCTAAAATATACAAGTCACTGAAACATCTCTGCTTTAGTCTATGCCTTATTTAAATATTTAATGGCTGCTGGTATGAAAATATTTTTGAATCGTTTTGTTCTACAGCTTATTAATAGAAAC